ATCCTTCAGCTGCATGGTATGTCTTTCAAGGGTCTCAGTAGGTAAGATGGCTCACTCTACACTTAAAAGCTGTAGCTTTCCATGACATGTATGAACTAGCTCTGCTACCAAAAGCAGTATGGTAGCTTGGAGCTTTCTGCAGAGCTAATTTGTCTTGCTCAAAAGTGAAGTAAAATAGCCCAGGCAGAACTCCATGGTATTTTGCTAAACTGCTTCTGGTACCCAAGCCAGCTCTACCCATGACTTCTTACATATTTCTACGATATGTGGCATCCTTAATATGAAACAATTGCTATCTCATTGCCTCTGTGGAACAAAGCAGTTTCAAGTATAAGTTATAGTTTGTTTGATTCTTATGCTTGGTTCCAGTGTGGGGTGGTAGGTAACCACCAGGGGTTGTGCAGCCACAGGAGGGTTTCTTTTTGTATTGTAGCAGGTTACTGTGGGGTATTTGGATGGCTTTCAAATGTATAGTCTGTTTCTCTACTGGAGTATCCTTGTTGCATAAAGGACTTTAGGCTGGGCAGGTGAGCATCATGAATGTTCTCCTCAGAGCAGATGTGGTGGTACCTGAGGACCTGACTGTAGAATACAGCTTTTGTGGTGTTCTTGGCATCAGAGCTCACCTTAGGGAAAATAGCACCCTGGGTGAACTTGTAATTTGGCACCCTTCCCTGCCCCCCACCCTGCAAAGTCAGTGATGCTGCTGCAGGCAGAAGCGGGGGGGGGGGGGGGGGGGGGGGGGGGGGGGGGTTGGGCGGGGGGAGGAGGGGGGGGGGGGGGGGGGGCAGGTGTGTGGGGTGTAGTCTGGCAGGGATGCAAAGCAGCATGGTGTGCCAGGTGGGTGGGCAGGTACTGCTGTTGTGGGGTGAGCAAGGCAGGCAAATTAGAGCAGGCACCACCCTGATCACATGCAACTAGCCTGGCTCCTGTTGAACAGCAGCTGGAGATGAGGGGGTGGGCTAGGTACTACCTCTTCTGCCTGGGATGAGGATCAGCTGGGGTGGGGAGGAGAGTGCTGCTGTGTGAGCTGCTCATGTGCATGTGTGTTTGGCATCCCCCTGACAACAGCACCCTAGGCGGTCACCCACCCCTAAGGCTAGCTGTGCTTGGGAGTGCTGGTCTTGTAGACACAAGTATGGTGGTTTGAGGTGTGTGGGTTTTTTTTTCTGTAGCCTTGCCTCTTTCATAATTCCTGGACCTTCACAACTACATCATCACTCTACCAAAGATCCTTCAGGCTGCTTTAAGTACTTGGATGTATATCCAAGGGTTGTAAAATATTTCTGTAAAATTATGCTGAAGGGCTAAGGAATCCCTTTGAAAGTATTATATCTATGCCAGCAATTTTGGATTTTAACATAGATTTCAAGTGTTATTGAGGAATGACAAAATTAACTTTGTCTCATGGAATTTATGTATGGAAAATCAAGGGAAACTCGAGATTAATGGAGAAAAGCGAGTATTGCATTTAACTGTAGGAATATAAATAAGACTCATTTTGGCATTTTCTGCTAAATAAACTTAACATCTATCCCAAGCAAAATGAGAGAATACCGAAGGTGAGAGAGCAATATGCTGCTTAAAATTATAAATGAAGATTTAGCCTGAAACTCATTTTTGTTTTATGGGATTAAGAAATAGCTGAAGAAAGTATACTAAATGTGATATAAATATCAGATCCTGCTCACTTCTTATTAGATATACCCGAGTTATCAAAATAATGGCTAATACTCTCTACTAGGTGCATGAGCAAGGGTACAGACATGCCATGTTACATATCCCTATATGCTGTGTAGGGA